TGAAGATGATGAGGATGAAAATCTTTATGATGATCCACTTCCAATTAATGAACAGTAAATATACTTTCTTTTCCTTGTGATTTTCTGAATTTTTTTCTCTAGCTTTACTGTTAGAATACAGTACATAATACATATAACATACAAAATATGTGTTAATAGACTGTTTATGTTATTGGTAAGGCTTCCAGTCAACAGTAAGCTATTAGTAGTTACATTTATGGGGAGTCAAAAGTTATATGCAGATTTTCAACTGCATAGGAGGTCAGTACCCCTAACTCCCATGTTGTTCAAGGGTCAACTGTATATTCCTTCCTTCTGAGTATAATTCCCTACAAATACGTTCCTACATATATTCCTAGGGATTCTGCCAATTTAAGTTGGCAAAATCTTGCCATTCTTTCAATGTGACAGTCCCTGGGTCAGTCCCTACACTCCCTGAGGTGGATCCAACTCTGGTTATAGGATTGGAGGCAATGAGAAGTGGTAGTAGAGAGTTGGGTCTTGAGGACAATAGGCTTCCCCTTACATGGTAACTGCCTCAGTTGAAAGCAATGCAGAATCCTCAAACTTACTCTCCTTAGACAGCAGAGGAAGGACTGCTTATGCTGGCAAGAGAGGCTCAGTCAAATTCAGAGGTCCAGGGAGCTCAACATCGTTGGAGTCCCTCAGATGTCTTCATTCCCAATTCTCAGGTTTCCATGCATTCTCAAAGCACTATTTGGAGAACTGGCACTATGAAATCACTTAGTGCTGTAATTCTGCAATCCACGTGATAATATTTGGGATTTGGTTTTTGGATACATTGGCCTCTGGCTACAAGAGTTCTTTTAGGGCACTCACAGACGCTCTCTGGTTCTCTGTGCGTTGTTGCAGTAATTAAATCCCCAAGGTGGACATTTTCTCCTTAGCTCATCAATGTGGTAGATGTGGCTAGCCCACCTCATGATCCTTGTAGTTCTCACTTCCACTGTAATATTCTTTGTACTAGTCAGGTGGTCTTCCAAAGCACTTCATCACCAGCAAGTATCCGTGATGATTTAATCAACTCTTTTGACACGGATTGCTAGTACTTGTGACAAGTACCACCTCCCAATCTCACCAGGTCAGATAACCAATCCCAAATCCCCAACTTTGAGTTTGTATTCACTGCAGCCACTTCTAATACTTTGTCAGGCTTAAGCCGGGAGACAACTTTCTCTTTATGTACTTCAAGCTGGAAGATTTTTAATATAGGGAATTCAAGGTTTACAAAATTATTAGGAAGGCTTGGAGAGCAAAAGTAAAGAAAAATAGCTGCTGGCTTTCAGAAAATCTGTGAGTACGGGAATCACATGAAGCTACTGTGATCTCAGAAGCTGGAGTGATTACAGTCAGAAGCTTTTTTCAGCAGAAAGGCTTTGCCAATTTACATTTCCTAACATCATACCTTTGCCAACACAGAGTATTCTCACTATTTTTAAATGTTTTTCAGCATATCCAGAGCAATAAGGAATTGTCAGAGAAGTTGTCTGGGTTACAGCAAGAAAAGGAAGCTCTACATGAAGAATATGGGCAATTTTTGAAGCAGCTTGATGTCCATATGAGGTAAAGAAAAACAAATTCCCTTTGGAAGAAAACTAGTAGAGTAGATATTCCTTGCTGAGCCAGCTCCAGGGCTAACTAGTGGGGTGACCACTGAAGTAACCTTTCAAGAGGGCCATCATCATTTTCCTGTTTCTGGAAGTTCTATCCATAGGGCTTTTCCGAGAGAGACGTGGGGCCCAATTTCTTCTCAAGAGAGAAAGGAATTTCTGTGTATTGAGATTTTGTGGTGTCTAACTTGTTTTTCCCTAAATACTCTTCTCACTTGCCTTCAGGCCTTTTTTTCCCCCCTCACATACTTTTCTCAGCGTGGATCACCCTCTGCCCATTTAGTAAGCCTTTCTCGACACCTCCAGCCTGGGCTGGGTGAGGTGCTCATTCTTTGTGTCCTAGTAGCTCTTTATACGTTCCCTCCGTACTTATTTCAGAACTTGCCACGTTGTTTTGAAGCAATGTGATTCACTACCTGTCTTCTTCACCAGACTGCTGGCCTTTAAGGGCATGGGCCATGGTCCTTTTTTTCTTTTTTTTTTTTTGAGACAGAGTCTCACTCTGTTGCCCAGGCTAGAGTGCTGTGGCATCAGCCTAGCTCACAGCAACCTCAAACTCCTGGG